GCAGTAATAACACTGCTTTATCGATTTTTGTGTTCAATTTAGTCAGAGGAGGATCTGCAAGACTATATATAATCCCTGAATCTATTCTTGGGATAAGAAAAACAAACATAGTATCCTCCATCACAGAATAGATCCAAAAAAGACAAAAGGAGACGTGGATAAACTGTAGAAGCGCTAAACGTAGTAAGCTTATGCTAAAACAACCCTCACCAAGGCTGGCAAACTCACTGCTAACATTCAAGCATTAAGAATTATGAAGCGAGAACAGCCTCATTGCCTCCAACCCGCTTTCTAAAAATTCTGGCTATGGAGCCAATTAGGGCGGAAATTTTCTAAATGGGTACATGGGCTGGTTTTGCGAGGAAGTTGGACGACATCGTCCGGTTAATAAATACTTTCATAGAGCCAAAACTGAGGGAAGGTAGCAAGGTTATCTTGGAGAGAGCTGGGGTGGTTCTATACTCGGTAAGATGGATATTTAATCTGAAGGCAAATGCTAAACTTAAATGCTAAACTAATGAAGATGGAGGGAAGAGGTGCGCAATATCCAACCAAGGGGAATATGAGGATACGTTTCATTTTATATTAACTTGCCCCATTCTCGCTGAGCTCGATATTTTGATAACCCCAAGGGAAACACCCTTTCCTTCTAAGGACGAAGCGATCCAGATGTTGCGAGATAGCATCGATGACTGGTTATGCCTGTCTCAATTCTGAGCTGTCTGGAGATGCGGAAGTATAAAAAAAGAAAAACTATTTATTTGATTAGTTTGGTTGCTGTCTGAACTCTGGCTGACGGTGTCGACAACCATGTCATATTAAGTTTACCTTATTAATATTATTTTATGTAATGCAGAAAACAGCAACTTCTTGGGCCTCCTCTTATACTATAGTAACAGAGTTTAGACAATAAAATTTCCTGCTGGTCTGTATCAAAAGCCCCTGGTAAGTCACATAGCATCTTATTGACCTGTTCACCATTCTCAAAGTTTCATTACATATCTCAACAGAGATCCAACCAAACTTGAAGGGGATCAAGATAACAGTCACAGGTATGAGAAACAAGAACATGCAATTTTATGTGATATTTGTAAGTGATTAATGGTTGACAAATGGTTGGTTCTAGAACTATCTATCTGTCTGTTTATTTGTATTTTTTTTTCTTTTGTATACTTGGCAGGAAATTTGAATCTTACTCTGACGTTCTGGCAGAAGATTTCACACGAAATCACTTCGGTTAGCCGATTCTCGCTGATTTCGGCATTTCGCCATCTCCAGTGACATTTACGATTGCTTATAACACCCTTTCTGTTGTCTTTCGCAACATGGATACGGAAAAAAGACGAATGACGAAATCCAAAACGCATCTGGTCGAACTAGACGGCGAATGATCAGATTTTCGATTATCTAACCACTTTCTGAATCACACGTGTTTGTAAAATGTTGATGGGTAAAAAATTTCAAGTACTCTTCATGTTGTAGGAATGTTTTGTCTTTTTTTTTTTCAATTTTACCCGGGGAAAATATTTGTTATCCTCACTTGAACTTCTAGAACGGATAAGATCTCATGGATAAGAAGAGTAAACAAGCCTCGAAGGAGATTAACCACCTGCGATTTTCAAAATAGAGAAAAAAAATGTTCACCTCATACAAATCTCTCAGTATGTTTTATTACTCAATATCCTATAGTTTTTGTTTATTTGTGATCAAGCTTTCTTGCCCAGTTACTTAGTAGCCGTGAAAAACAATGTTTTATATCGTTTAATTTTTTTAACAATTAAATATGTTTTCTACGTTTATTGTGCATTAATTTTATGGTTATTATATATTAGTCGATTCGGGTTTGCACGTAGGATAAAAAAATAATACGCATATTCTTATCAAATGGAATCAGTTCTATAAAAATTTGCAAAAATCAAAAATCCCTTCGAATAAATTAGGCAAAAAAAAATTGTCTTTGAAAAAACAACAAATTTTCATCGCAAATAAAAATATACAATTTTTGAGCTGTATTCGGCGGGGCCTATGTCGGTTTTTATGTCCTGTTCCCCAGTTGGACTTAAAAATGCATAACTCCTCCGGATTTTATCCAAATTCAACGTTATTACAATCGCAGGAAAATACAATATTTCTTTTTTCAACGTCGGTCTACGATGTTTGGATTTTTGCCATTTTAAATGAGAAAAATAAGGATGAAATCGTCAAATGTTTTCTTTTTTTCTTTTACGAAGTATGCTATTAATTTCGAATGTTCCAAATCACTGTAATGTTTTCCGTACATCGGTTAAGTGGTGTAAAAATTATCGCTGTTTTTGTGATTTTCGAAGAAAAAATTGTATTCGGGGTTTTTTCGATAGACAAACAACGACTATCCAATTTGTTTATTGCTATAAAAAAAATAGTGTCGCCTATTTTTTTAAGTCGCTCGGCCACCTGGGGGAAAATTGTATACATAATTAATCTATCCTGGGTATTGTGATATTGAAATACATAATTTATACATTATAAATAGGTTAATATATTTTTTTAAGAATCTTTTATAATGCTGGTCAGTTTTGACGTTCAAAGCAGATTTCCACCCTAGATGTCTTCGTATTGTCCAAGTCGCTGAGCTGTCCGTTAAGTCTTGTGTGGGGATTCTGAGTTTAGTGATACGTATCTGACTCGAATGGAAGTCCGTAACTCTTTGTTGTTCTGTCGTTGGCGTACAGTTGAGCGCAAGATTCTATTTTTGGATCAATCAGTGAAAAACGTATACTTGGCTGTTGGAGGTTGCTTGGCTAGGATTCGGGTTTAAAGACAGATGATGAGGTGTATATAACGGTCTGATAATTTTTAAGCTTATAAAGTGTGCTGTGTGCCAGGCCCTTTCAAAAGCCTGGGCTACATCCAGGGAGGCATCCAAAAGCCACTTAGCTCTCTAGAGCGGAGTCAACGACTCTGAAACCTTGCTGGATCGTTGTTGATGATATGATTTATCAACAAAATAATGAGAGCTTGGAAAATTTGAGGAAGGGATAAGGATAGGGATAAAGAGGATGGAAGATAAGATATGGCAGATAAGACCTTCTGCACCTCGACCTGAGTTGATCTATTGTGCTCCTCTAATTTTATAAATCACTGGCTAACTTCAGATCGTTAGTAAACCTCCATAGCCTTGCTAGTGGCTCCTTGTCGAGGATCTTGCGGCTTTTCCTCTCCTAGTTGCAAGAATTTAACCTCCATAGATCCTCACAAAAACATAAAACGAGTTCTGCGGTCTACTCTTTTCCCTGGAAGAATCTACACAGTGTTTCTTCTTTCTGTGCTCCTGTGCGGGCATGTGCCTTCTTGGGCGGCAATGGCCTGTCAGGTGTCCAACAAAATTCCTGGTTCTGCTGCGGTTACCCTTCAGTAGTTGCTTTGTAAGTCTTGCGGATGGCCCTTCTATGAATCTCCTCGCGTGCCCTATACCTGTGGTTTTGTTCCACCAGGTTTTGGATTTATTAAGGATCATTTTCTGATGCGGCCGGCTGCACGGCCGCTGTAGGGTTCTGGGCACATAGAATCTATGTTGGCTCCCTTTTTTGCCAACATGTCAACCTTATCGTTGCCTCTATGCCCAGAATGTCCAGGGACCCTGCCAGGGTCAGGACATTAGTGCCGCTGACTTCCGTCTGGGCCTCCATGCATTTTCAAACACTCTTTGCCTTCGCTTCGCATGAGACTAAAACCCTAAAACCCTGAGAGCTGCCTGGGTGTCAGAGAAAATGGCTATCTTCCGGGAATGTATTTTGGCCTGAGATTTTGGACTCTTTAAGGATCCATTTTTGTGGCAAGGTGCTAAGGCTACAGTAGGGTTCGGGACCTAGATAATTCATACTGCACAAATACAACACACAAATATGATACTCTTTTTTGCACGCCCTGAAACCCAGGAATCAAATTTTGTGGGAAATCATTTGCCTTTTTAACTATTTGCCTTTGTTTTGTCGAAAATCACAAAAACCGTGATAACATTGAAATTGTTTCACTGATCCACAGGAAACTTTACAGGTGTTTACAACTTTATAAACTACGTAGAACAAACGTTGCCTATGTAAATAATTAAAACCGGTTTTAAAAAGAAAACATATGAGGAATTTTTGTCGATTTCATCCTTTTTGTCTCATTTATACTGGCAAAAATAAAAACATTGTTGACATACCCTGAAAGAAGAAATATCGTGCTTTCCAGTGTTTGTAATAAAGTTGAATTTGGGTAAAATCCAGAGGAGTTATGAATTTTTAAGTCCAACTGGGGACATAGGAGATAAAAACAGTAGGCCCCGCCGAATTCAGTACAAAAATTGTATATGTTTTTTTACAATGAAAAGCTGCATTTAAAGCCTTTGCAGGGTTCTTAAAACGACCCCGTAGCTTTTTTCTCTTTTTTTGGCGTACTTTACTCTGACGTGCAGGATTCTTTTCAAATTTGCCAACTCCTGGAAAAATTAAAGGCAATTTTCATTAGGAAAAATAGACTTTTTTTTGTTTTTTTGGAAAATCTCTCCTAAAAAATTGATGCTAAACAACGATCACTGTTTTATCAGGCATAAATTGTAACACATTTCCATGCAAGTAGAAAGAAACAAAATCGTATAGAATTAAGCAGTATATATTGTAAATGGATGACTAACTAATTGGTCGTTATTGACCTGGAAACTTTAGTACAAGCTAAGTATTTATCAATATTTCGCAGTCATTCGAAATTGAGAGAAATTTTTTTTTGCACAAAATTCAAAATTCCAATTCCAAAATGTTTTTAGTAGACTGCTGTAGACAGTATCGAAATCCACAAATTCGGTTAATCATTGTGTAAATGCAGGTGTTCGGATTTTTCCTATTTTTTTTTTTTATATTTATGAGAGAGTAAATATCAATGACTACATGAAATCCTGGGCAGTTAAGCCTTATCTGAACCCTTATCTTTTTTTTTTTAACAATAATTAAAAACGGCTTGTGCCTTCAAAATCAGACACAGTCGGTTTTGGCCAGTTCAAAATGAATCTATCCTGGAATTATTTATTTATTTTTGCCCTATTCGACACATCGAGATCAACGGTCATCAACAAATGTAAGTGAGTTTTCCATAGAGATAAATTCGTGAAGCCGATTGAATAAATCGAAGTGGGATTTTAACATTCAACTTTTGGTGGCTGCACCGCATTCTATGAGTATACTGAAGTACTCGTACTTAAACCAGTTATTTTTTTTACAACCAATCACCCGTAATTTATTCACACGAGGCAAAGTGACAATACAGATGCATTTTTGTAGTTAATAAAATTAAGATTAAAGTAGAAGACGCTTTACGACCTGCTCACCATTGATGTCTACAGATATCTCATTAAACTTAGAGCTTTTTACCAGATCGCAAAGCTTTTTCAAGGACTCCCATGTGTATCCGTCAAGCCCAGGCTTTTCCCAGTAGTAGGATTCTCTGGCTGCATAAGCCTTTACACTAATGGAAATTTTCCGCTATATCAACGTAGTCTTGTTTCTGCCTCTCTGAGTCTATATTGTATTTGCCTCTGGTGTCTGCATTGTCCAGTTAGCAGTCCAACTATTACTCTAGTCCTAACACATCCTAGATTTAGCAGTTCTGCGATGTTCATTGATGAAATTTTTCAATGGCCTTTGTCCTGAGCGAGAAGGTCTTATTTTTAATACAGTTGATGGATACACATTTTTTGGAGTTGGATGCCACAAAAGGGTTCAGAACTGATAGGTGTTTTCATCATTCCTTGGCCAATCTATCGACTACTTCATTGCCCCTGTGCCCTGTGTACCCTGGCACTCAGACAAGGCAGACTAGGGCAATTTTGTTGTTGCCTGACAGAGCCCAATTTCAATCCCAAATGCCATAACTTTATTACCGCTGCGGTAATGTCCTCGATATGAGTAGATAGCTATTCTTACATTCACGATACTTTTTTTTGTAACCTTTTTTGTAAGCTGAAGCTCCCTCTGAATCTTTGGTTGCTTAGATGCTCAGACGAAATAAAAATCTGCACATAAAAGTTTTAGAAATGGGGGCTCAAATAAAATAATGATTATTTCATCAGAATTCTATTGTCTCTTTTTTACGGGAAAGTTTAATGAAATCCAAATCAATTTTATACTCTCGCTTTTTCCTCAGCATGGTTTATAAGCTTAAGCACTTCCTACCTCCTTATTACTTTATCCTGAAATTCTATCTAACCATCTGCTGCTTCAGAGCAAGGTATTTCTTGGAAGTAAAACGAATACAAACTGGCACCCCACAAGGAAGCATTTTTGGCCAGCCTTTATGTACTGCTGACCTACGTATACTTCCCAATACCACCATACAATACCGCAATTTTGTTCTCTAACAAACGTTAGTTATCACCAACATTCAAGAACACAACAAAAGTGGAGGACACAACTGAATGAAGAAAAATATAAAGAAAAAACAGTCCATTCATGTCAGATATTTAGGATTTTACGTATACAGCAGACTGGACAATTACGAAGAATTCTGAGCCTAAAATACATTTTATCCGTCAACACTAAACTAACCTTATACATGTCTTTACTGTTACAAAGTAGGTTATGCAAAGTGGAACTGTGGAGTTCTGCGGTCCAATATCCAGCATATCCAATCCTTCCAATCAAAAATATTCAGACAAATCGTCAAAACTTGTTACTAAGTACATCACTAACCTCACTATCCACAACAACCTTAACAAACAGTTCTGATTCAAAAATTCACACACTAGCCTCTTGATCTATCTTAATCCTACTGCTTAAGCCCTTTCTACACATCCTGCTTTAATCGAGTATGGCCTCAAGACTGCCATGGCATGTGTCTTACGGGTGCAATGTTGGCCTTAGTGTTACCGCTGTAAATGTGTGAAAAATCATCTTGTTATCGCATTTGTAGTACGTACTAATACATATAGGGTACAAATCAAATAATTAATTTTAAAAAATTCCTTCTCATGTTCTTAATTGCCTAATTTATTTTTAATTTGAGTAATCAAAAATGTTTCAATATTGCAATATCCCTAAATTATGCAAATTTACGCACTATTCTTTAAATATTCAAAAGTATGTAGGATAAAATTTGAACCATTGTACCCTGGTGGTATGATTCGGGTAAATATCTGCTCACCATGATCATAGTGTTAGCAGAAAGAATATGCAAATGCATACATATACAGGCTCCAGTGATGACCCTGCAAGGTTATGAACCTGTAGCTTCTTCATCTCTAAATTTCTTCTTCTTTTATGTTTATGGTTTTATGTTTGGATCTGTTCCAGCATTTCACCATCTTCAGTGGTTGGGCCTGTGTTATTTTGTTGATCACATCTGTCCAATAGTTATCATTATGTTCTTAGTGAAGGCCAACCAAAACAAATGAAAATAACAAAACAAACCAAGCTATTTTTTTTTTTTTAATTATAAATAAATTAGCAATTGCCTTAAAAGAATCTAAATAGATTGCAATAAATAAACACACGTTGTAATTGAATGGTGAGTTGTTATGATGAGTCTGCTAGGTGATGAACCAGTTGCTTACTTGTCTCCAATCTGCTTCCTTTTTAAGCAATATCAGGCTGTGCTTTATCAGGACAAAGATAATATGTAGGCTGAAAAGGTGGCCTGCAAGGCATGTATGTTTATGTAACAGTCCCTGTATGATATGATATTCTTTCAACTTTCTCAAGTTGCCTGTCAAACAAAGAGTTTGGAAATTCTTATAAAAGCAGAATTTTTGTGAATTTAAAACATTTATTACTATTAGTCTCATTGACCATTCATTGGTTAATATTTCACACAGATTTGATCATCAATGATCATCCTGCAGTCAGGCCTGTACATGTCAAAACACTAAATAAATGTCATGGATGGCCATAGACAATAAAATATTGAGGTTATGAAGAGAGTAATAATTTCTACACATTTTTGTATTAAAAATATAAAGAAGTTCATAATGTTAAAGCATCATTTGCTACTTTGTGATATAAAAATGTTATTAGGCTGCAAATATATCGGCTATATTTATCAATGAACTAATATAAATTGAAAAACGTTAAATAACACCAAACAGCTTTATGTTTTACTTTTCATTTCAACTGTATTTGTTTTAATGTTTATTATACTTTTTGTAGGTACACGAGGTGCGCCACCTCTCCAGCTTGCAGTAAAGGGCTGTGATAAAGGGCCTTGTGCATTTGTTAAAGGGACGGATGTACAATTAGCAATTAGCATTTTAGCAAGTATGTATATCTGTATATATGTAACTGGTATAAAGCCTCAAACTTAACGAGGAGGTCTAGGTAAAAAAATGTTGATACACAATAGACCAATATTGATCGCAGTGGCCAGGTCTAGAGGCCAGCTCGTATATAATCTAATCTATGTATATTAACATTTAAAGTGATTATTTTACAAAATTGCCATTCAAGAAATAAACAGAAGAAGTATAAAATTGTATATTTCTTGAATTTTGTAAAATATTCCTTTAAATGTTAATATACATAGATTAGATTATATACGAGCCAGCCTCTAGACCTGGGCACTGCGACCAATATTGATCTATTATGCATCACAATTTTTTTATCTAGAATCCCATGTGATTTATTAACTTCATTGGCCTCTGTAATCTAACCAAAACTATTGCCAATTAATTTTTATTTAAGTCTAAATCATGTGTGCACTTTTTTAAAAAGATTTTAGCACTTTTCTAGCTGTTGGTACGCTGTTGCAGTCATAACCTTTATACAGCTCTGCTAAGTTTTGGCATATTTGGCAAATATTTGCTACAACATTGCCAATTTTGATTTAGGGTTGCACAGTTGCAGTTCAGAAGCTTATTTTCTACAATTTCTGCCTAAAGAAATATACTGTCTTTCTGTTTCAAATAGTTATGAATGTTTTTTTTAAATTGATTTGTAGTCAAGTGTGGTTCTCTTTTCCTCTGCCCATTTATTCAGTTCCGCTTGCATCAAACTAGTTGTGGTTAATTGTGGTTCTGGTTTTATGCACTTTCTTTTTCAAACTTTGAAGTAGTTCATTAACCTCAAGCACCTACGCAAGTGACCATTTTTTCTTTTTTTTTCTCCTGGCTGTCTAACAGTATCTTAATTTTTGTGTGAACAAATGCCAAGCATTCAATTGCATGAACTTCTGCCAGAAAGATAGTTGCAATATTCTGTAAGATTTTTTTTTCTTTGAAGAAATTTTCACCACTCCATGTCCAATTTTAGATACTTACCTTATTAACTGTCGCCCTTTTTAATTTTGTAGTATTATTCTTACAAACATTTCTTGCTTCTAGAATAATCTGTAAGGATCTGTCGAAAAATCAGTTTTTCTTTTACCAGATTGTAGCCACATTGTACATGTTTATTTTACCCTTCATGAAATAAATTGTGAAATTTATTTTTGAAGTTTGCAGAGTGATTAGTCATTTCTGATCTTGTCAGTCATCCAAACAAGCCAGGCACAAAGCATGGTGAAAAGCCATGTTTGTTATAGCAGGATCGGAATACGAAAATGATTGAAACAGTATTAACCTGCATTTACATGAAATAGTTATCCTAATTATTAAAAACTAATATTTACTTAATAATACTTTATACAATTAGATACCTAACAATAAGGTAATATTCTTAATAATAATAGAAAATATATTTATTGACATAGAAAATGAATAAGTTAATTAACGTATCCTACTAACCTAACCACCATGATCTTGCTCTTTGTCACAAAAATTGCAATAAAACATATGATTAAAAGGAACGCAGTGTAGTGAGACTGATCAATAGAAAACACCTACTTATTAAGTGCACGGTCAATAGGTGGTCCTCATAGGGTGTGAATTATGGAAGAGGGATCATCCTCACCCGAATAAAAATTGCTTATGAAAGCCTGACACACACACACAAACTTATATTTGGGCCAAAGCCAATGCATGTGTCCGGCATATAGAGAAAGTATTGCTCAATCCCATTTAATCCAAGCATGTCAATTCTTGGCTCCATATAGGGAGCGTGTAAGAATACCACCTGGTATGATAATTGTGACATAGCGTTTCTCCCCTGTTCCAATGTTTGGAGAAAACAGGGATGCTGTTTTTATTTTTTTAAAGATGCATTTTGTGTTGTCTTGCAAGTTTGTATTTAAATTATGTAAATGAGTGGTGAGAAGTCTCAGTAAACCTAAGTTAGCCAACTGTATTACGAGTTGAAAGGACAGGATTAAAGCCCTGGAGCCTAATATTAATAGATGACAGCTTTCCAACAACACCAAATTATGTTTAATTTTAAATATATATTATTACTAATATTAATTAAGGTTTTTAGTTGAGATGAAAAAAGTTAATGGCACGAGCGGGATTCGAACCCACGATCTTCGGCTAGATACACCGCTGCTCTACCACTTGAGCTATCGTGACCTCGATCCACTCGGACATCAACTTCCTATCTCAACCCCACCTTATGAGTTTTCCCTCCTTTTTGCCATTTTTCAAATGTCGTGTAATCGGTTTGGATTCTCGACGACAATTGAAATGGCCACGGAGAGCTTTAGTGAAGTGTACTTCATATTAATTCTTTAAATTCACTAATTTTGTGGTTTGAAAAATGGCAAAAAGGAGGGAAAACTCATAAGGTGAGGTTGAGATGGGATGTTGACGTCCAAGTGGATCAAGGTCACGATAGCTCAAGTAGTAGAGCAGCGGCGTATCTAGCCGCAGATCGTGGGTTCGAATCCCGCTCGTGCCATTAACTTTTTTCATCTCAACTAAAAACCTTAATTAATTGTAATGATTTAATTGGTCAAGCGGACCACGAAATTAGTGAATTTAAATTATTACTACCATAAAATCTCTTATGACTTGTTTATACCTGTATATTTCATACAAACATGTATATTGTTTATACAATATATTGTATATATTGTATTTGTTTATAGATAATAACATAACTAAGTTAACAACACAAGTCAAAGCATTTGCTATGGGAACTGAAACAATATATCCGTTACCACAAAGTAATGCATGTTTAAGCTTGACTAATGGAGAATGCCCGTTAGATGAGGGTGAGGAAGTTACATACGCTTTGACAATGCCTATTCTAACATCATATCCCACAGTAAGTACTGTTTTATATAAATATAATAGAAAATAATCAGTTTTATAGGTAACAATGTGATAAAAAGGTGGTACAAAATAAGCAAATAATTTATTTGCCGAGGTTGCAGTGATACATAGGTCTCATCTGTGTTGTACATGCTTAAATTATTATATTTTTGCTTTTAGTTACTGTATAATACACATTGTAGTATATTAAAAAGTTCTCTAAAGTTATATTAAAAAGTTAGACTCTCCAAGCCATCGAGAGAGATCAACTCAAAAAGTCTGGAACTGCCTACATACCCTGAAAAAAAATTGGATTGTTATTATTCATATCATTGTTTTATTATTAGTAATACATGTCATACAAATTCTTTGTATGCCAGTGATTTGTCCTTTCGATGATAAACAAGGAAGCTTCAGACCTCTATCATCAAATAGTGTAATGCTTAAATGGGATCCAGGTCATGAGGAAATTTCAGGCAACAAAGCAGAAAATATAATTGCTAAAATAGGAGCCTCGGAATAACATATAGGCCCAAATCCAAATTGTGGTATAAACTGCAGCCTTGGCTAACTAAAGGACATAATAAATACTGGAAGCATAAACCAAGCATGAGGCAAGCAAAGAAACAACTCTCAAAAAAAGCCTAATGGGAGAAAGAGAAAATCCTTCGCAAGTAAAATATTGGGTTGTCCGGAAAATAATGCAGGATTTTGGTATTAAACAAAAAAAAAGAAACTAGTTACTTTAAAGCAATGTTCTTTAATCAAAATNATTCATACAAATGAGTAATCCTGTAAACGTAAACAGAATATTTTATATAGATTTTTTTTAATGAAAACTTAAAATCCTGCATTATTTTCCGGACAACCCAATAAATTAAAATCTCCAACTGGAATATTTACAGGGCATGCTCCGTACCAATTTATATTTTTCAGTTTTGGGGGTTGAATAAAGATTTTAAAAGTCCTTTCATCCACTATGCCTATTTAGATTTATCATGGAACCCATATCAATTATAACCATACCTTGAAAAGTTCACTTTTTTTTTCAAATAAACTAAGCATTTTCCTTGGTCCCTCTTCGCTTGCGTCTTTTTGTGTGAGAATTGCCTTCCTGAAGTGGTGAGGGATAATATGATATGATAGGAAGATAACAGTGAGATCAAAAAATAAGAATAAGATTTTGAATTTGACTCTGAACAAGGAGAAGAATGATAGAGGAATTAAGGATAGGATTACGGAAAGGATCACGTATGGATTTGTACTTTCCTCATACATGAAGATTTTGTCCAGTGCTTGAATTTTTCTTTCTCAAGCAAAAGATTGGTTTCTTGAGCAACTTGAGTATTTAATCCAGTGCACCTTGTTGTGGTTCTGGTCACATGGAAGAGAGGGCTACCCCTTTTTTTGCTAGTTGGTCAGCTTGTCCATGTCCTTCTGTGCCTTCATGTTCAGAAACCCACCTCATGGTAACTTTGTGTTTTCCTAGGGCCATTTAGGCAATCTTGGACAAATTTGGAGTTGAAAGCATTCACATTTACTATGCCTTGATAGCCGTCTGACTGTCTGAGAGTTTGTAAATCAGTATACTTTGCAAATTTTTCTTGATTAACCCCTATGCACAGAGTTGTATTGCATGAACCTCAGCTTGGAAAATAGTTGGGATTATTCAAAGGGACTTTGCTGGAGTATGGGCCCTTTTATACGTATACCTATGCTTCTTCCATTTTTGATCCATCTGTGTACCATATTAGAGTGCTTTCCTGAAATTGGAGCTACCTTTCTTCTAAAGTTCTCTATTATTTATGTCCAAATGGAAGGGTCTGTCAAAGTTGACTTTTTCTCTCATTTTGTCAGATGCTGTTATAGCCGTTTCATTTATTTTATTGCTCTTGATAATTTAATGGTGGCTCTTACAATCTGGCTTTATTTCTTGTATCTCAGGAATCTATTGACATTCTCAAAAAGCCACTTTTTGTACATGGAAGGACGAGTACGGTATCCATTGCTGTGGTGGGGCATGCATTGCTCCTGAGTCATATTCAACCTTGGAGCCATCCGTGTAGAAGAAATAGCTGGCGTTTACTGGAATCCCTTTCTCCCAATCTGCTATATCGAATACAAATTTTGATTTGAAAATTATTGTCAAATTTAAATTTTGGGATCATGGCATCAATAGATATTCTGGAGGAACATGCCTTCTCAGTGTTTCTTCCCTAAGTATCAATAGTCTGTCCCTGGCAAATTGTGCATTAGACAGACCAGGCATTAGCCTGTGAATTTTGGCTCTAGCTTTTCCCTGTATAAAGCTATATAGCGGTGTTAGATTAAGTACTTCCAAAGCAGCAGTTGGGGTAATTCTCATTGCACCAGTGATGCTCAGACTCATATGCAGTACGAGGATCTTGACCACCCTTAGCTTAGATGTTTTTGTCTACCACCATGGGTCAACAACCGCTGTGTACATAAGATGTAAGTACATGTTTGAGTTTAGTCCCAAACTTTTCCCAGAAAGACGTTTACTTTGTAGGTAAAACTAAAGTCAACTCTCTTTTGTTTGTTGATGATGCTGCTAGATCCATTCAATTGATGATTCAAAATTCAAGTATTCAAAAGTAAGCACTTCTGGAATCTATAAACTGATATAAAACCATAGTTGTAAGGAATTCCAATAGAAGTAGTGCAGTTCCTTGAATTTTAAATTAAATTTAAAATTTGAACTTACCAGAGTGCATAAGTAATACTAGTTGGGTAATGGTTTAGATGACCCTATGAGTTGGTTTTCAAAATGCATTCAGTAGTTGCATGGATGACTCACAGAATCAGTTTTTCTCTCTATCAACGCTTCGGTCAAAACTGCTCCTTGTGTCATTAACCTTAGGAAAAGAAAAGTGTAAAGGCACAAGAAGCGAACCTTGGGGTACTCCAGCTGATATCAAGAGAGAAGAGGAGATATAATTTAAAGCTTGTTAGACAAACAGAAGGGAATAGTAGTAATAGAAGGAGAACGCAAAAGATGCATCAGTTTCCAGATAAGCACTTTATGATCCATTGGACAAATCATGTAGACAATAACTTACTTATCAATGCCTAGGCAGATGTCATCTAAGATTTTGAGAAGGGCAGTTTCACAACTATGACATTTTGGAAGCCAGATTGAAAAAATGATGTAAGGACATGGGAGTCAATGAATGGATATGTGTTTAAATAAACTTGTCAAATGCTTTAGTGATGAAAGAATACTAATAGGGCGGTAGTCACTAGCTAAGTTTCTTGGGTAAAGCAACTATTACAACTTCTTTTTACCCTGAAGGAAACCAAGGTGATGTGAAAGAGAAGTTTAAAATTTGGGTTATGTTTTTTAAGGTAACAGGAAGGAGAAAAAATTATAATTTTCATGGGTAATATTTTAAAACTAAAAGACAATTTTCGGAGGTTTAGTTTGGAGGAAGAGGACTTGGAAGCAAGATATTAGTGGTGATAGATTTAGATTTTCCAGTTTGGCATTCTCATTGCCCTCATATATAATCATATGTACAGACAGACATATATAAATTTTTCTATATACACATTAAAATCAATAAAATATGTTTTGATTATCTTTTTCCTTTTTAGATTCCTGTCATAATAGAATTTTCGTTAAACTCGGAAAATGGAGTGGTTTCTTGCTTCAGGCTTTCAGCTAATGTTGTGGATGAATAAGTGAGGAGCCACCAAAATTCAACTGACATGATCTTTTATAAACTTTAACGATGATATATTTTATTTGGAAGATTGAATGTTGATAACTGTACAGGTGTTGATTACACAAAGTTTGCATGTAAATTGTTAAAACTTGTGTTCATTCTTATTTAAAATCAGTTATTGGAAGTTTAATGGCAGTGTTCATCATTTCGAGCTCATCAAATTAATAGATTGTACATTGACACCGCACTCATCACTGCAAGGTAAAGGTCCCGGGTTTGAATTTAGCGACCCTGCATTCGAACCCAACATACTTACAAATGGTCTTTCACAGACACTGTAAGGATTGATACCTCTGCTGTTGCGAACCCTTGTAAAAAATGTACTAAACAAATGTATAAAAAAAACTAATAATATATTGTTGACTTTGTATTTATTAATGTAAATTAAATTTATTTATTTGATTATGTAATCTGTTTTTATTTGGAACAAAAAATAACATCAACACCATCCTTTTAATGTATGTATCGACCATTTTTTTACTAACAATAATCGGGATCTCGGTATGGTCTGGTGTTATAAAGGTTAATTTAGAGTTAAAAAGAGTTAATTTGACAGAAAGGATTTACAAAAAATTTAAGCAGTTAGAGTTTATAGCTGAGAAAAAAGAAAAATAAAGGGAACAATAAGTATATTCACAAAACTGTTTTGAAGAAAAAAACAAATGGACAATAAAAATTGTTTAACAATATGATAATGCTAATAAAAAATGATTTCTCATGCAAATATATAACTCTTACTTACTTTAATCAAAAATTAGAAGTATCGAACACTTTTCCACTCTCGAACACTCTGGATCAAGGTATGATGTTTAGGAAGAAAGTAAATACAGTTATTACTGCCAAGCTTTCGACCTATTTCAAGGTCATCATCAGGGCAAAACAATCTTAAATATATTAAACAAATTGACATAATTAAGTTTTTCGAATTTCTTTGAAGGACGACTCAGTTCCAATAATGTCTGGATGTAGTGTTACAGTCCTTGGCAATGTTGGGACTAAGTCTGTCTTCTAAAAAATTTGAAACCGTTTATTAAAATGTAAATTTGTAGACATCTTTGAGATTGTTTTGCTATGGTGGTGACGTTAAAATAGGGCGAAAACTTAGATACAAATTGAGTTGGTTTTTTTCATCCAGACCATACGGTAGGTAGTACGTGGCATAACGGCTGGTCGTACATAAATCTTGTGTGAATGAAATTTTTGGACAAACTAAAACCCGACGTTTTGAGTCCTATTGTATTGAGGTACGATAACCGGATGCGTAGATTTAAGTTAATTTCAAAGATGTCCGTTCATATTTGCCCCTTACCATCCGACCATATGCACGACTTTTCCTGCTCATGTGCGACCTATTAAAAACAATCAAAAGGCAAACTGCGGTACACTATTTTGCAAAAACAAACTCTTCTAAACGTCTATCAACTGCTAACAAAAACCGACGGAAAATCGCTTCGGTCAAAACCGCTGCTTCTTTCATTACCATTAGGAGTAACCGTTTTATGACAAAGATTATGATCATTTTAGTATCTCTATAATCCCATTTCCGTTAGATATTTCCGTCGATTTAAGAACTATAGTTGTGATCTGGCACGATTAGACAATTAATCTTCATTGGCAGGGCTTGAAAATGGAAACGGGCTTTGCAAAATCCATTCCGCAGTTAAGGCGGTCTAAACGTAATTTTTGTCTATCTTTCTTATCGTAAACGCATGGGATGACTGGCAGCTCCCCGTATAAAGACCTTAAAAAAGTTGAAAGAACTTCAACAGGACGAAACCGTCCAAATTTAGAGCAGCTTCCATATTTGGAATTGTCTATATACCGTTATCACTGAATCGTGCCGATAATGGCATCGCCTGTCAACACGCCACTGGACTAACACCCCAAATTAACCCGTGACAATGAATTAGGAAAAATTCTGAAATCGGGAATATCACTGATGGGGGTTTATTTTTATAGACTGACATTTGCAGCCGGTTTAAATTTCGTACTGCCAATTACAGTTGTATATTTGAATTGAAAGATAATCAACCGGAAGATTGATCGAAGGGTTTGTACTCAAAATACATCTAATAGGCAGCTAAAAATCGTTTTGTTAACTTAACCTCGTTATTAAGATTATAATGGGCCAATTAGGCCTTGGTGATTATGACGGAACTCTTTGGAAGAGGGCGTTTGGTATTCCCAAGCACTACAACCTTTCAGCTTATACTGCGTCTTTTTTCCTAGTTCATTGGTTCAGTTCAATTAGCTCGATCCTTCTTTTGCTGCGAGACATCCTTGGTTATGTCTCCATTGAGAAGCACGCAGGAAGATGCGTCATCGTTGAATATACCATGTTGTGAAGAAGTTTTCTCAGATCTCAGTGATCGGTAGCCCTGTAACCCTTCAGTTTGATTCAACCCTGTCTAACTGTAACAATCTATTTGCCAATTTTTGTGAAGGGCCCTGGATAATGACTATTACGTCTGGCAACTCTAGAGATCATCCGATTGATCCCTCTTCTAAAAAAGATACAGGCCCTCCGGAGCCACCCATCGCCCGTGGTACTGATACGTAGGAAACATAAAAGAATTACAACTTTACAAACATATAAAAAATTACACACACACACACACACACACACACACACACACACACACACACACACACACACACACACACACACACACACACACACTAACTAACTAACTAACTTCTCTATATGAGGGTCGATGTGGTACTTTACATTTCGTCTTCGGTCCTTTCACACTTCACATTCACGCTAATAAATACATTCAATATCAATACAAACAAAAAAGGACCCAAAACGAGAAATCAGTACTATGTACATAAGACAGCCCTGTTTCATCCAAAAATCGGAACAGGAGGACCAAATACTATCTGCATTGCTCAAGCACAATTTAAAGCGGCATTCCTACTCTCTCTATGTATATGGAGCTGACGAATGACACTCTTTCAATCAGTGCGACCCATCGAACAACCTTTCTTTACAAGCCTCACACGCTGGTTTTGACCAAAAAGTGACTGTGAGTCAACCTCGCATAGCCTATTCCTAATCAGGTGAGAATGATACTTCTAATACAAGTCAGTATCTCCGAAAGCTACTTGTTCATCGAGCTCTCACTAACCCTAACTAATCTAATTGAAGGACTTGAGTATTCAATATTCCACGGCCCTTTCACAACACATTCACGCTTATAAATGCATTCTCACGAAACATTTAACAAACATTCTCCAAACTTGCAAAAATATATGCCTCTGTTTCTTCCAAATCTCTCTCTCTCTCTCTCTCTCTCTCTTTTCTTTCTTTCTCCCCTCTCTCTCTCTCTCTCTCTCTCTCTCTCTCTTTCTCACTCACTCACTCCCACTTACTAATTCACTCAATGGAATTTTCAGGGTCGGTTTTGAGTATTGGAGCTGATTTATTCCAGGGGATGTCGTATTTTTACTAGCGTTGTCATTGATGTTTAGGAAGAAAATGAATTGTCGAATGAATGTTGCGTTGTCAAACAACCCTTATAAAAGGGCCAAAAATAAAGTAGCAGATCATAAAGTCCGCACAGTTGGCAGTACAAATACAGTTTTCACATCGATTGGGAAACAAGTAGTACAAAGTCAACCCATTCGACACCTGCAAATTTCACAACCGCTTTTGTTTTCAAATTGCCAGTTACGAAAATTCGCAGGCTCGTTTGACTGCACATCACGACAATTGACAGTTGACCCGTTCCTTAATAGGAGTTTCGTAGCCTGAATTCTTCACGTCGCCTATTCGTCGTCAAACAAAATGATAACAGGCATAAGATTTGTTGACTAAAACATTCCGGCCCGTAAGGACGTTAAATGTTCGAATACACAAATGTAATTTTGTCTACGTCACGCTTTTCCATAAAATCTAATATCATATAGAATGTTAATTGCTCAATAAAATCAAGGTAAACAACAGTAATTTTCAAATGCGCGTTGGGAACAATCGGCGTGAGAAATTGATAAGGAAAAGAATGGTAATCTTTGCTTACTTCACTATTAGAGCATCATCAGGATTGTTTGTACATACTTTATTGACATTACTTAGTATTGCGTACCAAATAATGTTGGAAATGCTAATAAAGTAGTACAATGCATATTTCTTGTACTAGAATTTTTTTATTACGCGCTTTTTTTAACCATGTTAAAAAAGCTCCATATAATAATTAAACTTAGTTTGATGTGGTTTTAACGCCAAAATATGAATTGTCCCCCAATTCACCATTAAAAAATGTATGTCATTGGCCTCTTGAATTACATAAATTCCTTGGAAAACAATGTTTGTATCAGTCTTAAATTGCGTGCATAAGTTATATATATTAATATTTACTAGATCATAGTACAATAGCTTATATAACAAGTCCTGATAGCAGGACTGCTGACAGGACACTGCAGACTCCGGAGATCTATACTCAAAGTAGCAGAAACAAGCCTTTTTTCAACTCAATGCCGAAAAATCATTTCAACTCACATTGTATACACGTGATTTCTTCTTGAATGGTGCACGTGTAAGGACTAAAATGATAGCAGGACTGCTAATTGGACACTGCAGACTCCGGATATATATGTACTCAAATTAGCAGAAACAGACCTGTGCAGATAGCGCCAGCATAAAGAAAAACAGCAGGCAGTTTTCCACCTCTTCCTTTTTATTGCCGTTATTCTTCGTAGTCCTAAAACTTCCAAATCAGTATTCACTCGCTGAAATACCTAAGTCGTGATATACCTCGCGGTCCGCTCCTGAGTGCCCACACAAGGCATGTTTCGGAGCTCTTGTCTTATCAGTCTTTTACATATGTCCCAAACACCGCAGCCTACCTTAATAAAGGCCACAATATCCAACGTATCTGGTCTAGAATGATCGTAGGACTGCTGACTGGGCACTGCAGCCGCCGGAGATGTATATTTTCAGTAGCAGAAAAGCCTTTTTTCAACTCTATGCTTAAAAATAATTTCCATTTACATTGTATACAGGTAATTTCTTCTTGGAGAGTACACGTGTAAGGACTAGAGTTATAGTAGGACTGCTGACTGGACTCTGCAGACTCCGGAGATCTATACTCAAACTACCACGTACCATGTACTATGTTGGTGCAAAGGCGTGTTCTGGCTGAAATTATAGACCTTAACCTCCTTTCTGTACGAAGTTACCATGTGTAACGGACAAAACTCGAAGCAAGCATGATATCAACACTCACCGATCTCAATTAATTGTCTAACTTCTTCAGGATCGATTTATACTAAATTTAGACATTCGTTTGTAAAAATAAAACATCAATGCTCACCAACTTGGCCAAGGACGAATGGCACGCAACTTGTGGTTGTTCA